GGCTCCATCTCTGAAAATTTTCAAAGCTCAGGCTCCCATGCCGTTCACTATTAAAGAGTCTCCCTGCACGAAGTCTCAGAGCACGTATGCTTTTGAGATGTCATGTGAACCACATGACCCAAAAAGGATTTCTTATTTTTAAATCGGGTCATGACTCCAATAACTTTCATATTCCCAGCTGACAAGAACACAGATCTCACAAACAGCATGGAGACCACAGCTTGAGAGCTTTCAGAAGCTGCCATGCCAGCCCCAGTGACCATCTCCAATGACAGGCACTCTTTGCAAGTTACTCATGTTTAAGCAACGCAGGAGCACTGTTTCCTCACTTCAGCAGGGAGAAGGTGCTTTTCTAACTAACATGTATAATTTTATTTTCAAAACTTTGTTAATAACCCAGCCACTGGGTTCTTGCTAGACTGACTTTTACCATGCAAGGAACATAGTTAGGGTAATATTTTAAAATAAATACTTAAATAACAGTACTACTTTTAAAGAGAGACTTCAGTATCTCCTTTAACTGACCTCAGACTAGAAATGTGCCAACAAGCCACAAGATTGCCTTTACTTTACACAGGCTACCTCACAAAGGGAATGACTCCTTAGTTTTCTCCAGGTTACTAAGAACTCATAGCATTTACATCATTTACAACAGTTTTCACACTTGCAGAGCATCTTGTGTTCCAAAGAATCAAAAAAAACCCCACAAAAAAAAAAAAGGAAAACACATTGCAGATTTATAGGCAGTCCAGGCCTAACTGATTCACCTTTGTCCCTGAAGAGAGGCCACTTCTTGGGTGGTGCATGGCAACAGTCTACACTAGCCAAGAACAGGGAGCCTGTTTGTTTATGGCAGTGGAGGGAATTCAAAGCCTGGATTTTAAAAAGAAAGATCACTACTGAACAATGCTTTCCCCAGAGAGATGTCCTCAAAACTTGAGGATGCTGTGCAGTCAACACCAAAAACGTGCTGAATCCTGCAGTGTACTACAAGCATGCGTATTCTATATTACAAGGTTGAATGGTGAAGCTATCCCAAAGTAGCATTTACTGGCAAAGGAGAGTTTCAGACAAGTTTTAGTCACAGAAATTAAAACAAATTATACCAGAAAAACATGGGGACAGGACTGAGCTTCTGCAAACTACGCAAAGTTTGTCCATATAAACAGGTAAGGAGTGACTGTACAGTTGATGGAGTATCTGTGAAACCTTAGGGTCATCTTTGTGCATTTTGCCCAACAAAACTACTGAAGTCACAGGTCAATTTGGAACGAAGGCTGAGCCAAAGTGCCAGCCAGGGGTATCTGAGCCTACATCTGAGGGTCATGTGCACAGAGGGAAGTGCCAAACTTGGGTATTAGTGGAAGTGCCACTACTTGGGTAGCATTGTTGTAGATTTTCAGTTCTACACATAGCCTGGCATCAGTGTCATTCTAATAATAATCTTCTGTATAACAGCTCTAAATTCATCTTCCCTTACTGAAATGCCAGAGCTCCGCCCAATATGCGCTTATGAAAGTCAACATAGGCAAAAAGATGATGTGGGGAAGTGGAAACATATTACCAGTGATTCCCTTAGACCCAGGCTCGTTCATAGGCAGGTATTTCCCTGCTTAAGTTAAAAAAAAATAGGAAAAAAAAAGTGTTCTTCTATGCAGGTCTGCAAGGTAAAAGTGCAGTACTTGAATATCACTTAGACACTGGATTTAAGAAAGAACACGATATTGTGAGGTAAGGAAGGAAAGACAAGAATAACAGTCGGAAGGATATAAAGATCTGTAAGTTTTTGTTCAGAAACTGATACAGCGTTAAGAGTGAGTCAGAAAAGCATTTGATATAGAACACCCCTTTAACAACCCTCTCCTTCACTAATGCCCTTCTACAGATGCACAACAAAAGCCATATTTCCATGCCGAAACATGCATACAGTACCTCTTAATTCTCTAACATGCCAATCAGGAGCAAAGTGAAAAAAGGAAGACAAAGGAATAAAATTAGGATAAGCACAACATAGACGACTCACATGTTCAGTAAGACTCACTCGTATTAATTAACATTCGTTTTCAAAAAAAATTCAAGTATATTTAGCAAACACAGCATCTTTGTTAAAAAAAAAAGTAAACATGATAAAGATAATTCTAATAGCAGAGGGGGAAGAAGCCATGGTTACAAAGCAAATCTGACATCATAAATGATCACCAAAACACAAAGGAAGAATTTTTCACTGACAGTCACCTCCTACTCCCACAGATGTCAGTGACAGAAGCTGCTGACGTCAGAAGTGTAGGATTCAGATATGTAAAATGAGAAAGGATGAAACAAAATTGTTACAACTGAGATTAAAAATAACACCTTGTCCTTCCTCCCATAGCAGAATTCATTTTCTAGTCTGTGCAAACAGTTCAAGCATTGTCTAGGTGAGGAGATGGATGGAGCTACCTCTTCCAAGACCGCCTAGTGTGTCAGGTAAAAGACCTGAACTGGATGTTCTGGTCTCAGGCTTGTACTCCATCCCAGAATCAGAGAAGAGAGCCTTGTGTCCTAGTTTCTCAGCTTTTGAAGCTCCTGAGACTGCCTTACAAGTCCCTGGTTCCCCATCACCAACAGGTTCACTGGAAAAGTTGTCTTTGGCAATATACTACCTCCATCTGTCAGAGCAGTGGGATGGCAGGAAAAGAAGAGGATTTGATACTGACCTCCACAGTGTGCTGGGTTCCTCTTCATGCGCATTACCAGTGTTCACAGCGTCAAACCAAAGCCAGCATTTCCCTATATGCACTGCAGAGCACTCGCACCAGGCCCTGGGGTAGCCGAAGGCTTTGGTAAACCCCTCTTTTTCTTTTTATCGGCTAGAAAGGTGAATTACTGAATGGAGGCTGATCAGAATATGATGTCTGAGAAAAACTGTGATCAGCAGTATCTGCTCCGGTGTTTTCTACACAACAATGAAATGCCTTGAAGCTCTGGTTTCCCCTTGTTTTCCCCCTTTCTAGGTCGCTTTGCATGATGCCTTTTCTGGTGCTGTCGTAGACATTCCTCTCTTCTGACAACTACCTTGCAAACCAAACAGGCCAGCAAGTAAGCACAAAGCAGCCCCAATCCCTGCAAGGCTGGGACATACCTTGGTGCTAACTGTGAAAAACAAACTTCTTGGATGACCTTACATGAGTTCCAGTGAGCTCTTAGTATCAGCTTGGGTGTGATTTTCAACAGCTCTCTTTTCTGGACAGGCCACTGTGACTTACGTCATTTCCAGTACCAAACAAATTACGGGCTTCCACACCTAGGCAGCCACTTCTGAAACACCTTTGCGTTATCCCATGCCTTCAGAATAAATCACCGAACAGATGGTGTCCCTCTAAGCTTGGGAAATCACTATTCAGGTGTTGCAACACATCTGTGAGGAAAAACCCTCTCTGCTGTTGAGCCTTTTTTCCATCCAAAGTAGTTTTAGCATATCAATTTCCTATGTATTAAGCAAATAAATCCAGTTCCTCTCTTATTCTAGAAGTGCCAATCAGATGTTCTAAGCATCCCTTTGGTGGAAGAGTACAGCCTAGTGGCAGGAAAACGAAAGACCGGCCTGTTCCACTTCTCTACGTGCCCGTCAAGACAAAGCTGGACAGAGAACTTAACACCGCACCAGTTACAACTGAAGGTTACTTCTGAACAGGTTACGAAAACTAAATATTCAAGGAACTGATGTATTGATAGAAAATATTAAAGGAGAAACAGCAGAGTAAATGCGTTTTCTTCTTTATTCTTTAAGGAAACAGTGTTGCTGTGAGCCTAAGGATACGAAGAAAAGGAAGACTTGTAAGGAGTAACTGCTTTTCTTAGACCCACTGATACAGCTGGAAAAAATGATCACGTTTTCATGCTCAGAATCTCCTTACCACCTGAGACATAAGATACTTGATGAAAGGCTTCAGCTTAAAGCTTGAATTCTGGACACATCAGGTGCATGAGCTGGTCTAATAAAAGATAGTACTTCCTCTGCTGAAGTTCTCTGTTACAAGATGGAGAGAAGCAACAAAGGCTTCTGTGCCACTGGATTTGAGCCCTGTGTGAAAACAGGAACCCGGGGAGCAGGAAAGGTCAATTCACAGTTTCACTGACCTTTTCCTAGCTTGTGACTTACCAACCAGACTATCACTTGAGGAGGGGGAAGAGGATCTGTATAATGCTGCCACACCAAACGACTGCTTCTTTTGTAAGATCACAAAAGCTTCCCATAAATCTGCTGTCCTATGAACTGGGTTGAAAGAACAAACGCATATGCCACAGCCAGAGAGCCACCAGATGATGACAGCTGTTCACTGTCACTCTACCGATGAAGTTCTAATGAAAAGTTGCCATCATCAAATGAATTATGTCCATGAGATGGAAGCTGTGGGTTGATGGTTGTTTTGTTTTGGTTTTTGCTTTTTAAAATTATTATGACTAAACTTTCAGGAGAAAGGATCAGCAAAATAATACAAAATGATACAGTAACTTAATATAACAACTCTTGTGTTGCTGATGCTCCAGTAAAGCAGCAGCACCAGCAACTGGGAAGTCACTTGTTAACCAGAGGAGTCAGAAATAAGAAGAGGATAGTCCTGACCCTTCAGACTTAATACCTGCTGTGCAAGTTTCTTGTGGTTGCCAGTACATAGGTCAGGCATAAATGGCAGACACACAGGCTCTGAAAATGACATGGATCTCATCCACCCTGCCTACCACCAAAGGGACTGAATGCCTGTATTTGACAGAAGGTTTGCCAATTCTGAACTGTGAGAATCTGATGGAATTCCTATGAAAAAGAAAAGAAATAAAGCTAAAGACACAGACTCTGAGAGTATACATATATCCCATAATAGTACTTAAACCCACCTTAAAAGTGTAACAACACACTTCTAAGAATAATTTTCAGACTTAAACAAAAAAAACAAAAAAACCCCAACCAACCAAACAAACACCAAAACCAACCAACCTAAAACAAAGCCTCTGTAGCTTACTGGTAAGAGAACCAAAGTGGCATTCGTGATCATCTGGTTAGTCTTGTCCCAAGCTCCTGCAACAAGCACGTATAACAAGTTACTAGTAATATGAATGCTCTGTACCTGCATCTTCCTCTTGACAGTCTCAAAGGGGAAGGAAAGTGTCTGTGCCACACCAGCTGCTACACAGCCATTTATGAAGTTCTGAAGGGGAGTGAAATGAACGATGGGTTCTTGCCAGATTTTGTCCAGATTGATGTAAACAAAAAATGAGCCCGCAGAAAATGGGACAGCACCTAGAAAGCAAACCAGACAGGTGGTTTGTATCAACACACTGTACGCTAAGAAAACAGAGCTGCTCACCACATAACCTAGAAAGATGGGATGAGCCACTGCCAGTTTACACCTCACATTGCTCAAAGCAGATCAATATTTTGAAGAACTTTACTTTTTAGTCACTGGTTTACCACCAAACACCCATATTGTAGCATCTAGATGCGCTGATAGGGGCATATGTTTACATATTAAAATGTGCATATTGTCAGAATTGCTAACTGCTTTAGTCCCATGACAGGTCAGCTCTTCCTTCAGGTTCTCTCTTCTGTGACAACCCTTTCTCCAGTCCAACCCTAGCAGTTGTACAGAGTTGCCTCTTCAGTCAAGCTGATGAGGGATACTTCTGTCCTCTTTTGCTTGTTTCATGCTCTCATCAATTTTATAGTGGGATTATACATTATTATTATTATTAATTTTTTATAATGTCATCTTGGAAAAAGGTGGACTGAAAGTTAAATGGCGTTTTTAAAAGCTACTTAGAGTAAATAAATAATTAGAAAGTCATTTCATGTAAAGAGAGAACATCACTAATCTTCACTTTTCACATCAGTTTTACATTACTGCTCATACTATCTTTACTGAACAGCTAGGGAGACACTCTCACACCTAGATAGGAATTAAGAACACTGTGTGTGTACGTGTATATATATTTTTTTAAAGAATTAAATGGTGGAAATCTTGCATCCGAGCACAACTGGATCATCTATAAAAGAAGGAAAATTAGTATTTTGTTGAACACTTAACCATACATAAAATGCTATGCACTTGGTCATAACTTTAAGTAATAAAGCTGCAGAAGAGGTAATCAGTATTGTCATGTCTTGTAAATCTACGTACCTTCTACAGAACAACATTACTATTTGCTTTTGAAGTCAAGTGAGCAAATGCACTACATAGCTGCAATAAACAATGTGCAATGAGGTGGTTTTTCCCCATTGTTACTTTACCTAATATAGCTGGTGAAACGCCACGGTAGAGTGCAAGGAGTCCTTCTTGATGATAAATTTTGTAAAAAGCATGAAGAATTCCTTCATAGGATGGTTCCAGTCGGTTCTGCACAATGAGCCGTGTTTTAATTACGTCAGTGGGGTAAGTCACAATGGTTGCAACCATGCCAGCCAGACTTCCTGCCATGATGGCTCTCCAGTGGGAAATATGACCCAACTCATCCGTGAAAAGTATAACAAGCCTAAAATAAACACATAACAGAGGTACTATTAATGATAGCATGAATAAAATGGTTTTAAACTAAAAGAGGGCAGATTTAGATTAGATAGAAGGAAGAAAGTTTTCACAATGAGAGTTGTGAAACCCTGGCACAGGTTGCCCAGAGAGGTGGCAGATGCCCCATCCTTGGAAACATTCAAGGTCAGGTTGGACGGGGCTCTGAGCAATGTGCTCTAGTTGAAGATGTCCCTGCTCGTGGCAGGGGGGGTTGGACTAGATGACCTTTAAGTGTCCCTTCCAACCCAAACTGTCCTATGACTCTATGATTCTATAATTCTAAAACACGTGAAAAATTAAGGCACATTATTCTCAATTTAATTGTTTTTCTGCGCATGAGCCCCTTCACCAGCAGGAGTTGAAACTTGAACATGTATTTCATCCACGTCATTACTATATATAACACCATCCAAGCACTAGAACATGTGAATGGGCAAACATGAGCAGAGTCAAAAAAAAATGCCTAAGAGCCCAAAGAGATGTTGGGTAAATCCACTCTGCACAGAAGTGCAGAAATGCAAAAGTTATAGTTAACAACTAAGTCAGGGACTGGAATATTTAACTCTGCAAATGCAATTTGTTTTTATTTTATTGTTACTGAGCTAAAATACTTCGAGTACCTGAAAGAGCTTTTTGAAAGGCAGCTTGCACAGCTCCACCTGCACCACAGTTCCCAGCACAGACTAAGCTGACATAGTTTGAGTTGTGGTACCGTGCTGGAGGTCCAGAGCACCAATTCAACAACAAAAAAAAATCTTCAAAGATATGGAGGCTAACTGTTTGGACAATTTATTTGCTTGCTTTGCAAGAGACTTTTAAAGTAATTTTTGACCACCAAATCCTCAGTTGTATTTCCACCTACAGGATGAAAATTACCATGACTTAAAACATGCCTGCAAAAAATTCTCTGATCATTAGTCATCAGTTAGAGACATTGGTCCATCCCTCCCAGTCAAAGTTATCATGTAAGAAGAAAAACATAGATAACATGGTCAGAGGCCTTCTGAGAACAACTTAACCATCCTCTGTTGCTTATGTTGGGACAGAAAGGTCCACAGGGATACTTCTCTAGAGAAGACTTAGGTCCAGGCACTATTATGCTCAGGAGATAAGTCTAAATTTGAAATTCTGAAATTGAAGCACAGAGTTTTAAAGGCTAACCTCCAGCTCATGCATTTGTGATGCACAGAAGGACTGTTCTATGTACGCAGGGCACTCCTAGATCAGGGAGAAGTGCCGTGAAAGCAGCAAGACACAAATAAAAAGACTCGAGGAAAGAACCTTAGCTGGAGGCAAAGAAACTTATTATTCTATTTTGGAAGCAATAACTAAACTGCCTAAACAGCAGATTTATATTCAAACTGCTTGGTGTTACCATGTCCAGAACAAAAATTTTCAAAGATTTACAAGTCACTGCTTCCTCAGTTGATGTTTTTTTCATGTGAGCATGCGTTTTCTACTTCATGACAGATCCCTGCATCTACTTGTCTCATGCCCTGGAGAGAGCCCAGAGCAGAAGGACTAGCCAAGCAGCAGCGAAAGGCCATAAACTTTTTTTCTATGTGTCTTGCACAGCCCCTAAAGCAACACAGCCTGATTTCCCTGTGCGTGCACTCATGCGTGGGGAGGGTGGCGGGGTGTCCCTAGGCACTACCCAGATAACATTTAAAACTGCCACGGAGAGACAGAGTCTGCGCACAGTAACCGCAGAGGGAGTGCAGAGTCAGCTAAACCCCCCTCCCCAGCCAGCTCCCCCGCACCCCCGTTCTGGGGCTGCCAACCCTGCTCAGCCCAGGTCCTTCTGCAACTGGCATTACTACCTCCTTAAGTTACTGTGTAACATTTCTCTTTTTCTGTTTCTTGCCTTTATATAAACTGTTCTCCCACTAGAAAATACATTTAAAAATCCATAAATAATGTATCAAGAAATATGTGTAAATTAAATTTTATTTAATTTCATGGTAGCCTACTTCCACTCGTAGTTCAAAAAAACACCCTGTGCAAACTAGAGACAAATCACAGCCTTGCAAAGGGAATACACTGTTTCAAGATGAACAAACAATGAAGTTAGTCATTTTGCTCAAAATCGACTGGTTTATACTGATGCAACACAGTGACTCTTCTGGGAACTTTAAATCACTGTTTCTGCCTTCCCACTGCCATTATCCCTCCCCTTGTTCGACCACCATGTGCATTACAAGCCGAAGGACACAACAAAGCTGCCCAGTTGCAGCGTTGCTTTATCTCTCCTTTCCCGAAAGGCGCAGGCAGAGCCGGGAGGATGACTCTTGCTCAGCCAGATGAGTAACAAGCCCCCGCGCAGCGTCAGCCCGAGCGAGATCTGCAGCAGGCTGGATTGGCTGGCGCAGGCTGAGCCCATGCTTCTCCCCACCCAGCACAGCCCGTGAACTGGAATAACCCATCACCCAGCTGGGCAGAAATGTCAAGTTCATACTATGCACAACAGCTGACTTTAATAAAAAAAAAAAAAAAAAAAGACACCCTCGAAGTGGCAAAACACTGGTGCGTGCCAACAGTCAGGCACCCCTTTCAAAAGGCTGAAAGATAACTGTCAGCAAAAGGGAATGAGAGGAAAGAGCCCAGAAATATTTAAATCACGATTTTGTTGTTATTTTCTTTGATACAAACAACATAAATACTTGGAAGTGTATAAATGAATAAAATAAACTGGTTGCAAAGAACAGACATCGCAGCCACATTTGTAGGCAGCATTCCATTTCTAAAGGAATCTAGCTGAACAGAAGAGATTTAACAGACTGTCAACCCTTCATCACTTGAAGAACCCCTGATGACTTTCTAAGCAGTGGCTGGCACATCACCGGGCCCCAGGAGCTGCTACGCTCCAAATAAACTAAACAAACGAAGCGGCGAAGGTGCTAGCCAGGGTACATGTCTCTGGGGAAAGGGGACACACGACCAGCCACCCAGCTGAGACGCTGGCGTTAAGGTGCCCCTGCGGACGGAGCTCTCCTCTCCACCGCCTCCTCTTCTGTAACGGACACGAAAGGTAGAGGGAGCGCGCC